AAGATCTTCCGTCCGATGATTCACTCCCCAAGTGACCGCAATGGCCGGTGCTGCTGTGATCCAAAGCCAGGAACCAGGAGCCTCTTCCGGGTCTCCCACGTGGGTGCAGGGTCCCAAGGCTTTGGGCTGTGCTTGATTGCTTTCCCAGGCCACAAGCAGGGAGCTGGATGGGAAGTGGAGCTGCCAGGAGTAGAACCAGCGCCCATATGGGATCCCGGTGCGTTCAAGGTGAGGACTTTAGCTGCTAGGCCACGCTGCCTGGCCCAGACTTTGTTTTCTAACATAAATCTCCACTAAACACATACACATACTCACACACAAAACTAAACTCAAGGCTCCTCAGAGAATGAGCTGATTGTAGGGCCAGGGAAAGAAAAGGACAAGATGCTCATTTTGCTAAACACGACACAGAAACCAACTTTTAAGGGTACTAAATCTGGAAACTTCTGACACTAAAATAGTAAAGGACAGTAGCTAATTATAAACTATTGAGAGATTGTAATCCATTAGTCTATGTCACTAAGAAATAACTAAGTAAGTAAATAGGAAGTAACAGAGGGGTGGCACAGGCAAGAATGACTAACAGGAGACAGGCTCAGGGAGAAACAGAATACCGTGCAAATTGCTTATTATACTATGGAGAAACCAAACACCTTGACCAGGTGATCAAAATTAGCATCATCAACAAGGCAGAGATACCCTGTGACTTATCTTTTTATTTTAAGGATTTGTTTATTTATTTATTTATTTATTTTAAAAGATTTATTTTACTTTTATTGGAAAGGCGGATATACAGAAAGGAGAGACAGAGAGGAAGATCTTCCGTCCGATGATTCACTCCCCAAGTGAGTGCGACGGCCGATGCTGCACCAATCCGAAGCCAGGAGCCTCTTCCGGGTCTCCCACAGGGGTGCAGGCTCCCAAAGCCTTGGGCTGTCCTTGACTGCTTTCCCGGGCCACAAGCAGGGAGCTGAAAGGGAAGTGGGGCTGCCGGGATTAGAACCGGTGCCGGGATCCAGGGCGTGCAAGGCGAGGACCTTAACCACTGCGCCACCGCGCCAGGCCCGATTTGTTTATTTTTATTGCAAAGTCAGATATACAGAGAGGAGGAGAGACAGAGAAGATCTTCTGTCCAATGATTCACTCCCCAAGTGATCACAATGGCCGATGCTGCACCGATCTGAAGCCAGGAGCCCATTCCAGGTCTCTCACGCGGGTGCAGGGTCCCAAGGCTTTGGGACATCCTTGACTGCTTTCCCAGGCCACAAGCAAGGAGTTGGATGGGAAGCAGGGCTGATTTGGGATTAGAATTGGCAACCGTACAGGATCCCAGAATGTACAAGGCAAGGACTTTGGCCACTAGGCCACAATGCTGGACCCTGGGTGTAATATCTTAAGGACATAACATCACTCCTGTAGTAGTATCTTGGCCAGGAATGTAACTTGAATGTAATGAATAAAACATGAGATAAACATAAATGATAAATTTAAAATAGGAAAAATCCTGTTATAAAAAATAAGTCCATATAAAGATCCCTTTATATATTTATTTGAAAGTGAGTTACAGAGAGGAAGAGAAGAAAGAGACAAACAGAGAGCTCTTCCATCTGCTGGTTCAATCCCCTCCCTAGATGGCTGCAACAGCTGCTGTACAGCCAAGCATGGAGCCATCCAGAAGCTTCTTCCTGGTCTCCCATATGAGTAGCAGGGATTCGAGTACTTAAGCCATTTTCTGCTGCTTTCTCCAGGCCATTAGCAGGGAGCTGGATGGGAAGTGGCATAGCTGTGCGATCCCCAGAAAATCATCAGGAGTCTGAAGTCAATGCAAACACATAAAGGTGGTTTATTCAAAACTAACCTAGGCTCCCAGCCCAGCAGGATGCGGGAGCAGTAGCCGCTGCCAAGGTGGCCGAAGCAGGAAAAACTGCAACAGAAGGGGCAGAGGAAGGTCCAAAAAGAGAAAGAGAGATTCAACAGCACAGGGTTTTTATACATTTCAGCCAATTCCATACAATTAGATAGTCATGATCGATCAGTTTAACTGTTAACTTTTAAAAAGAGCAAGTTGGCAGGCTTCTATTTATTGGTGGGTTTGAAGCAAGCAACTTTCAGGAAGCACAAACTGATAGGCTAGAGGGCAGTGGGTCTTATCTAACACCAGCGACCTTCTTCCTGAGGAGTGGTCTGCCTACATGAGCTGCCAGGTGTCCTGCTAGGTGACACGTAGGCTGTCAGGCTTGGAGTTCACACAGCCCCCAGCCACGCAAGTAAGTCAGAAGTCACAAAAGCAGAAAACACTTAGGTTCTTCATAGCCAGGGCACAAACCTGTGCTCTTATGTGATGCCAGTGAACCAAGAGGCAGCTTTACCCACTCCACCACAATGCTAGAGCGCTTAACCTGATACTTGAGTTGGAAGAGAAAAAAAGATACCAAGAGGAGCGCTTTTTGATGGACACAATTGGAACATATGAATAAAATGTCTGAGAGGAGCCTTTTGGGAAGGAGAAAGTTTATTTCAGCATATAGTTTGGGAGTTTGCAGTCCAAAACCAGGTGGGTCCATTGATTCAGGTTGAAGGATGGCAATGGAACCATCACATAGCCAGCTAGAGCAGGCAGACACCGGGACTCCATTCTTCTTCTGCCCCCAGAGGGTTTCTCCTTATAACAACATCATGGTCTGGTTATGAGGCTCCACTCCAGCAACCAAATCCAATTTGATTACTTCCACACGGCCCTGCCTTCAGACTCCATAATTGTATCTCGCCTCCACCCTAATCATTAGTTTAATCCATTAACCGTTAATGCAAATGGCTTTGGAGTGCAAGGGTCTCTATGAATTTGGGTAGCCAAAATCTATTCAATCCATAACAAATGGTAAAGTATTATAACCTTGCCTGCTATTAAATTGCCTGCTGTTATTAATTCCATGTATTATATTTAGGTAAAAGAATGTTCTTATTCTTAGGATATTCAAGAAATAAGGGGTGGAAGTACAAGGTGCAAAATATCTTTATCAATCCCATTGAAGAAGGCAAAGAATGAAACAAAGATGCAATGTTAGTGAGTCCAAATAAAGAATATATATATGTATATATATATAATCTTCCTATTCTTTCAATTTTCCACATTTGAAATTATTTCTCTTTCCTGTTAGTTCAAGTTCTGCCTTCTTTTACTTCAGACTTTCTTTTTTTTTTCAAATATTTATTTTATTCCTTTGAAAGGTAGAGTTACACAGAAAGACAAACAGAAAAAGAAAGGGAAAGAGACAGATCTTCCATCCTCTGGTTTATTCTACAAATTGCTGAAACAACTATGCTGGAGCCAGAAGCTGTTGGGAGCTTTGGCTGCCCAGCCATAAAGATGGCGCCTAAGCTGTGTGCCAGGGAGGAGGAGCCCAGCAGAACCAGGAATTTCATCCTGATTGGTCCCTAGCGCATGCTCACCGTGCATGGCATGTGATCTGTATTATGATTGGTGCGCTCTGCGCATGCTGAATTGACCTTTTCGCCGATTGGGTCACGAAGTGTATATATATTGTAAAGCTTGTGCGGATTATGGGAAAAAGAATAAAAGACCACAGAAAAGGACACGTACGGTGGAGAGTCTTTCTCTGCGGGTCAGAGAGCGCTCCACAAGGAGCCAGGAACTTCTTCCAGCTCTCCCACATGAGTGCGGCAGTGCAGTCACCTGGGCCATTCTCCATTGCTTTTCCTAGGCTCATTAGCAGGGAGCTGGATCTAAAAAGGAGCAGCTGGGATTCTGACCTGCATCACGGAATCGCAGGTAAAGTGTTCTACTCACTGCATCATGATGTTTTCTTTATTTCCCTTTCCCGCCTTCCTCTTTTTTCCTTCTCCCTTCTTATTTATTTATTTACTTATTTATTTAAGATTTGCTTATCCTGGGCCCGGCGCGGTGGCGCAAGTGGTTAAGTCCTCGCCTTGCACGCCCGGGATCCCATATGGGCGCTGGTTATAATCCCGGCAGCCCCGCTTCCCTTCCAGCTCCCTGCCTGTGGCCTGGGAAAGCAGTTGAGGACGGCCCAAAGCTTTGGGACCCTGCACCCGCGTGGGAGACCCGGAAGAGGCTCCTGGCTTCGGATCGGCATAGTATCGGCCCGTTGCGGCTCACTTGGGGAGTGAATCATCGGATGGAAGATCTTCCTCTCTCTCTCTCCTCTCTGTATATCCGCCTTTCCAATAAAAAATAATAATAATAAAAAAAAAAAAGATTTGCTTATCCTTATTGAAAAGGCTGATTGACAGGAGAGAGCCATAGATCTTCAGTCCTCTGGTTCTCTCCCCAAATGGCTGCAATGGCTGGAGATGAGCCTATCTGAAGTCAGCAGTCGAGCTTCTTCCAGTCTTCCACATGGTTGTAGGATCCCTAGGTTTTTTTTTTTTTTTTTGGGGGGGGGCGCATTTTTCGTTGCTTTCCTAGACCACAAGCAGGGAGCTGAAATGGGAAGTGCAGCAGCTAGGACAGGAACCCGGTGGGATCCCAGCACTTGCAGGGGAGGATTAATCAGTTGAGCCATTGTGCCAGGCTCTCTTGGCTAAATTCTAAAAAGACCTTCACTGTATTTCACAATATGATTCGACATACTTTACGAATTTGATATTCTGCTTATCTAACCATCTTCACATTAACTTTGAGTTTCTATAGGGTATGAGCATTACCTTTTTTCTTTTTTTGTGTGTGTGTGTCTATTTATTTTGGCTTTTTTGGTCATGGAATCTTTGTTTTCTAACAAAGTTCCTGTACACACAAGATGCTTGTTGAATATTAGCTGAATGGAAAGTGACCTCTCATTATGAAAGTTCTTTGATGTTCTCTTCAAGTATCACCTTCTCTGATGTTTCCTTCAAGTCTTTCAGGTCTGCATGCATTATTTGTATCACTAGAGTGAAAGTTCCCTGAGGGACAAAGACCATCTTATTCATCTTGCTTTTGGTACAGTATCTAGGAGAGTGTTATACAGAGCAGGCACACAGGAGTTCACTGAATTTTTATTAGAAGGGAAAAAAAAATTAGAGTTTAAACAGCTCCCTGTGCACTGGAGAGACTGAGGAAATGACCTGAGAGCAATAAAAATAGAGATCAATAAGCAAGCATAAATCCATCAGGCACCAGTGAAGGGTCAGAGGATGATGACATAAGAAGTCCACTTGAGTCCATCAGGGATGGTTTCCAAGAAGTCACATTTCAGGTATGTTGGGAAAGTGCAGAGGGACATGGCTTGGGAGAGTAGGGGATGAGGAGTATTGCTTAGAGTCATGATGAGCCAAGGCATGGCAGTTTGAACGTGGCTTGTGTTCAAGACCTCAAGTTTTCTGTCTTCTCTCTGGCTCATGAGGCAGGCACATTCAAGTCCCTCTTCATGTCTTGATGTTTCCCATGTCAGCCCAATGTGGGGACTTTATGTTCTCTAAACAGCAAGAAGGATGTTTCTATGTAAGTCTATGAAAATAAGCAAACAAAAACCACCCCATGGGACTGATCACTTACTAACCCATGTCCTCTAGGGAAATGTGTGTCCCTGTTCCCAGTGAAATGGAACTTCTCCCAGTGTTAAGCCAGGGACTCAAGTGGCTTCCCTTAAAAGGTACTTGAGCGCCTTTGACAAAAATTTTCTCTTTCTTTCTTTCTTTTCTTTTCTTTTCTTTTTTTTCTTTCTTTTTTTTTTTTTTGGTGAGGAGATACAGGAGTTGAAAGTGATCATGGTTGAAAACGTGAGATCTCTGAGAAACTACTTGGCCAGGGATGTGTGAATGTCACCGGTAGCTGGGACATAAGATTTATTTTTTATTACAAAAGGAGAGTTACAAAGAGAAGGGACAGAAAGTCCCCAAGGGAGCTGACCGATCTGAAGACAGGATCCAGGAGTTTCTCCCAGGTCCACACAGGTCTGTAGGATCTAAAGGACTTTGGGTCACCACTGCTTTCCCAGGCCTCAAGCAGGAAGCTGGATGGGAAACGGAGCAATGGGACTCGAACTGCTGCATATATTGGATGAGCTCACTGAGCCATTGCCGTGGGGCCAGTGACTTTCTAGGACTCAGCTGGTTGTTGCCTCTAGCACTTGTGGGATAAAACAGTGAACAGATTATACCAGCCTCCTTAAAAGCCCAACCCAATTCAAGAATCAGACCGTATGACACAGTAGGCGTAGATCTGAAACCTTACAGCATTTCACCATGCTTGGGGATGGCAATTACTTCGTTTTCACTTAATGTCCATTTCTCAGAATGCTGTGTCTAACGTCTTTTGTTGTTTCAATACCCAGTCCCCAGCAAGAGAATGTGAACATGAACTCACAGAATGTTTGGAAGGATGGGTTTCCACCCCAACATATGCAATGTTTGATACTCCCTCTCCATAAGTGGCTCCTTACGAACCGGGAGGCCTCTGGGACCAGTCCACAGATGTCACACTGCTGGAATGTCTAGATGACAACGACACTTTAAGGTCTGAACCGCAGTGAAGTCCTTCCCCGGTAGGTAGGCACGACTGCGTCCCCGGAGCTCCGGGGAGTCATATTAGGTGGTGATGTCACATTGGCTGGGATGACATTTTGCAGCCCGATCCCTCCCTCCCTACCGCTCCCAGGCATCTTTAAAATCACTGCGGGGCCTGCCTTGCGGAGGGGTGGGGAGTCAGTCCCCGGGTCGCGTTCCACCCTGGCTCCCCACGGAGGCCCACCCACTCCCAGCGCCGTTAAGACTATGCAGCCGTTCTAGAAGCGCAACTCCACCTCCTCACTTCCGCCTCAGTAAGTGTCATGGCGCCCGGCGGGCGAGCAGTTCCGGCGAGGCGGAGCTGGCCGGAGAGAGGCGGCCGCTCGGCGCTCCTCTGGTCGAGTCTGGCGACAACGGCGGCAGCCGAGTGAGGGGCCCGGCGGCGGCCCCGGACGGCAGCGGGAGGCCGAGGCGGGAGCGCGCGAGCGGCGGCGGCGGTGGCGGCGGGAAGGGGCCGGCTGGCGGGGCGGGCGGGAGGCTGAGGACGGGCGCCGGGACGGCTCCGGGCAGCGGGGGTCGAGGCCCGGGCCGGTTCGCGCGGGGGGATACGAGGATGAGCCGGCAGCGGGGCCCCGGATCGCGTCTCGTCCGCCGCCTCCCCACGGCAGCCCCAGCTCGCGGCTGAGAACCACACACACCGGCGGTGAGTCGGGGCGGACGGGACGGGGGCTGCGGCGGGCGCCGACCTCCTTCCTCGGAGCGCGCCCCGAGGCGGGGCCGGGTCTCCCCGCGGGCTCCAGCTGGAACGCCCGGCCTTCGGGGGGCGCCTGCTCCGGGTGCCGGCCGGGGACCCCCCGGGGGAGCGCAGGCTCGGGGGCTGTTTTCGGGGGGCTGGACCCGTCTGACCCGGCTGCCGCGGCAGGTTCCCGGTGTGTGGCTTGTGCGTGTGCGTTTCTCCGCGCGGCTCAGCGCGCGGCTTTGAGGGGGGCTCCCGGTGCTTGGGGGAGACCGGGGTGGGTGTGGAAGCTTTGCTTTGCTGTTCTCTTCTGCGGGGTGCTGGTTAGGTTTGTAACTTGTTAGCGCCGGTGGGAGCCCACCGCGGGACCAGCCCCCTCTAACGTGCACCCGTGCAGGGCACATCTCCAGATCTGTTTTCAAGGGAGGGGGAAAGTTTGGCTTGCCTGTTGCGACTTCCCCCGCCAAAGAGAAGATGGGAAAACAAGCAGAGCTCGTGGTTCCAGCTCGCAGCGTTCCCGGGTTTGCGGGGAAGAGTCCGTTTTTGTGCCTAGCAACCAAGACCTGGGGCTCCGTCTCCCGGGAGCGCTGGTCTAACTCCAGTTTGTTGTGGTGACGAGCCTTGAGCAATGGCCTGTGTTTATGCTGGGCGCGTTTTCTTTCCTGTTTGGGGTGGAGAATGAGGGTGTGTGTGTGGAGGGGGGGCGGCGGCAACGGAGGAGGCAGGGGCGACTCAGAGTTTCTATAAATCTCAACTCCACTGAACCCCGAGGCAGTTGTTAGACACGTTTTGAGGATGCCTTAGATGCTCGCCCTTGGCATCTCAAGTACTGCCTCAAACCTGAGTTTTCCTCTGTGGACTGTGGTGCGGGCTCTGCCGTTTATCTCATTTGTTTCTTAGGCGCTGTTAATGAAAACAGCAGCGTGCTTTCCTGTTCTTGATGAAGCAGGGTTCAATTAAGTGGCTGATGCCCTTAGCAGAACCTACAATTTCGCTCTTGTTTGTGTAAAGCTATTTTTGATTCTTGGTCTGTAGTTGTGTATGTGTGTGAGATTATAGAGAATGCAAACCATTACCAGCATTTTAAATTTTGTTTTCATATGGATGCTAAAAGCTTTCAGCAAAACAAAACAAAGCAAAACAAAACAAAACAAAACAAAACAAAACACCCTGACAAGTATTTTAACCTAATCATTACCATTCAGTTGATTTCGTAGCTTCACATCTCTTTATATGTGTGTGTATATTTACTTATTTGAAAGGCACTGTTACAGAGAGGGATAGATCCATCTTTTGTCTGCTGGTTCACTCCCCTAATGTCTGCGGCACTCAAGGGGCATGAGCAGGGAGCTGAATGGGAAGTGCCGCAAGCTGGGAACTGGCGCCTGAAAGAGATGCCAGTTTGCAGAGAGGCTGCCCCCTGCACCACAGGTGGGCCTCTCATTATCTTCAGGTTCTTTAGTATGTAGTGTTGGTGAGATGGAGGTATTGTTGAAGATACTATTCTTGACCCAAAGGATGTTTGCATGTAGTTGTGGTTGGATGGTGCGAAGGGGGCAGCCAAGCCAGTAAGATGGTGAGAGCCGCTCAGTGTGCTGGCTGAGGTTGGCAGTCAGGTCTTCAGGCAGTGTCTTCACTCTGCACCAATAGCTTGTCCTGTCTCTGAACAGGACTGTAGTGTGTGTGTGTTTTTAAGAGCTAGTTGATTGCTAACTTGGGATTTTAAGCCAAATGAAAGTGCCCTCCTAAAAGAAAAAAAAAGAAGATAATCTCAAAGTTCACAATTCCTTAGGAAATAGAATTCTTTCATTCTGGGGTTTTATTTATATAATCACAGCTCCATCAGTGGTTTGTTGGTTTGAAAACAAAAAAACAGTGAACCAAACTTTTTTGAATTTGGAACTTGTGCAGCTTATTGGTTCTAACTGGTTCTTGTATAATTTGAAGTTATTTTGCAAATGTGAGCTGCTTAATCTGCCATCTGCCCTTTTATTTTTTCCTTTTCATAACTGTATGACAGCAATCTATATATTTTTAGGTCTTTTTTTTAGGACTTACTATTATTAGCCCTTTGCCTGTTTTTTCTTACATTTCATGCTGTTCTGAGCATGTCATCAAGATCATTTGCTTTCAAGTACCACTTCAACAATCACTGATTTGCTTTTTTAGTTCTGTTTTTTTGTTACTTGTTTTTTTGTTTTAGTTGTTGAAGCCCAGATCCGAAATGGTTAGTATATTTCTTTAGTGTATAATTTGGCATTTTGAAATAACTTACTTTTTTAATTTTTGGTCATATCGCTTCATCTTTCCATGATTTTGCAACGTAGGGAAATGTCATTGTCGTTCTTTTGGATCTTTAAAGTACCTGGGACTGGGCTTTCCCAGAGTGTTCAATGAAAACCAACCAGAAGACCTGAATTCTTTGCCAGTCTGGCTGTTCATTAACTTTGTAAAACTTGTCTTGCCTTTTTGGATTTCTTCTTCTCATCTTGGAATTAGGAAAGTTGAGAAGGAATCTTTTTTTTTTTTTTAAGATTTATTATTTTTATTGGAAAGGCGGATATACAGAGAGGAGAGACAGAGAGGAAGATCTTCCGTCCGATGATTCACTCCCCAAGTGAGCGCAACGGCCGATGCTGTGCCAATCCGAAGCCAGGAGCCTCTTCCGGGTCTCCCACACGGGTGCAGGGTCCCAAAGCTTTGGGCCGTCCTCGATTGCTTACCCGGGCCACAGACAGGGAGCTGGAAGGGAAGCGGGGCTGCCGGGATTAGAACTGGCGCCCATATGGGATCCAGGGCGTGCAAGGCGAGGACCTTAACCACTGCGCCACTGCGCCGGGCCCAGAAGGAATCTTTTAAGGTTGCTTGTAAGCTGTTGGAGTCCCTGTGTATATATAATTTTGTTTTTTTTTTGCCAATGTTTTCTACTCTACAGTTTTCATCACTTTCTCATTTTTCTGCATCCCTTGGCATCCTGGCACAGGTCACCTTGTCCTCCTAAGCAGCCTCTTCTACCTTCCACTCCCCGCTTCCTTTTGACCTTTGCTGTCTGCTCTAGCCAGGACCCTCCTGAAAAAAAAAAGATAATCTCACAGTTCATGATTCCCTAGGAAATAGATTTCTTTCACTCTGGGGTTTCCTATAGACACTCGAAACTCTTTGAGGTATGTTCCTCTTTATTCTGAACTTTATTGACTGTCCTGTCCATGTACTGCAGCAGTTCCCTTTTGCTGAACACAAAGGACCTACTTGTTCTGTTGCTATAGTTATCATTCCAAATCTAAGACAACTATTGGGATTTAGCAGAAAACATCCTGACTAGAAGGAGATTATCCCTTAGTTTGCTAAAATGCTAGAAATTGGCTTAGAAGGGTGGACATTACATAGAATTGTGGAGTTACTCCACTGGTATCCTCTATTCTACATCCTATTATTGCAATACAAGTTGGGGAACTGGCTTGTCATAAGTTCCATATGAAGGAAGGAAATACCACAGGAAAGGGGGTGGGGAATTTTGATTCAAATGGTGCTGTGAGGTTTCCAGCTTACTTTTTCACTTGTATTATTATATATAGGACACTTATAGACAAGAGACCATCATTTACATCTTCATGTGAACATTTCTCTAATTAGTCAGAAAGGCTTCTGAGGTCCTCTCAGATTTATCTATGGAGAGGTAATGTTCATTTTCTGATCACTCATTCTAGCAGACATTTGGCATATACTGTATGCCAGCCATTGTAATAGATGCTAGGGATCAAAAAACAGCCCGACACCCGCTTGGCCGCTGTGGATTGTCCTTGTGGCTCCTGCCGTGCAGACGTTTTGAGTGAGCATCAGTGGTCAGACAGTCCAGAGTGGCCCACAGACTGGCCTGTGATCTGGCCCTCGCCCTCTTCTGGGGGCGCAGCAGACTGCTACTCTCTCCATTGCTTCACTCCATCCACATGGGTTTCTTCTTCCAGTGGGGCCAAGAATGGTCTGGTATTTGTATTATTCTTTTTCACAGAAATGGCTTTTTTGTCAATTACGTTTCAGCTTAAATGCCACCACCTTGTTACAAGACCTTCCCTCCTTACCATGTCATTGTGTTTTGCTTACCTCATAGCACTTACTAACTACTATTTTCTTGGTTTTGTATGTATGTGTTTCAAGTAGAATGTAGACTCCAGGAGATAAGATATCTTGTCCATCTGAACACTGTTATTATCTCTTGTGTCTAGAATAGTTCATGGCAGAAATAGTAGCTGCTCAAAATGCTTGTTAAATGAATACATGACAAGCATGTACAAGTGCGGTAAGTGCAAAGAAGTAGTTGAGTGTTACGGGAACCTTTACCAGAGGACCTCCTTTAAAATGAAGGGGTTGAAGAGTATACTCATGTGTGGATATGTGGGAGGGTATATTGTAGGTTGGCAGGCTTCTGTGCTCTGCAGGACTGTTCTGGGATCCACATTCTTCCGATCCCTTAGGTACTGTCTCGCAGTGGAAGGAGGTTGGGTCTCCAGGGGTACCTGCAGGTAGAAGGGAACATAAAAAAGGCACCCCATTGGTGAGGGGGATGGGAGAACATGATTTAGCCATGTGTGAGATGAAGGGGAGAGTAGATATTGATAAAAAATTGAAAGCCTCTGCCACATGGAACAAATGAACTAAGTGGATACATGAGGGAGAGTACGAATAGAAGTTAGGAAAAGAAGGCCAGGAGGGGAAAATGAAGTTTTGGGGGGGGCACTGTTTCTAGAGAATGGAGGCCAGGAAGAAAGGCAGCCTATGGGGTTCTGTCCTGGAAGGGATTGTGGGGGAGAAGCCCAGATGAAGCAGGACCACACTAGGCCTGCTGATGCAAATTAGAGCTTTGGGGCTTTAGTCGTAGGTTTGAAGCATGGTGTGTGTAAGATTAATGTTTTCAAAGTGACAGGTAAAGGTGGGGAATAATTTGGAGAGTAGGACTTAGCAAGGGACGT